AAAGTGAAACTCTGAGAGAAGTTGTTGTACCATCGCATCGGGTAATACCGAATTCTGATTTTTCTATAATATCAGTGGATTATCTAGTAAAATGAATTTTTTCAGAAGAGTAAAAGAAATTAAAAAATTGTATGGTCTGAAAAATGTAGAATGCGATTTGGTCGATGAGAAAATGATTGAATACAGAAGAAAATGAAGGGACCAACTAAAACAAATACTAAATTAAAAATCGAAAGGTGAAAGAAGTGTAAAATATTTACTAACTTACTTACTCCGTGGCGTTACAACCCTTCGTGGGTTTTAGCCGACTCGACAACATGCGTCCACTGTTTTCTGTCTTGAGCAACCTCCATCCAATTCTCCACGCCCATCTAGGTCTCTTGCTATATTATCTCGCCACCGGAGACGAGGGCGTCCGCGTGGTCTACTTCCAGTTGGGACTTCCTCCCACACCAGTCTTACTGTTCATTCGTCAGAATGTCTTCTGAGGTGTCCTGCCCATTGGAGTCTTCTGGACTTTATTTCTTTTATGATGTTGTCGTCTGGGTAAAGTTCCTAGAGCTCTTGTTAGTTCTTATCCTATATTGTCCTCATGTTTCATCCAGCTACAGGACCAAAGATCTTCCTTAGGATTTTTCTTTTCCCAGAAACATAGTCTCCCTTCGTGTGATTTGTTATCTTCCACGTTTAGCTTTTATAGATCACAACGGGTCGTATGATTGTTTTATAAACCTGTATCTTCGTACGTCTTGTTAGTTTGTTTCGATTTTATAAGGTTTTGGAGGACAAAAACACATCTGTTGCTGGCCTGAATCTGTTTATTTCTTGTGATCCGTTATTTTCTTCAGTTATTGTTGTTCCAAGATACTTGAACTCTCTAACGCGTTCAAAGTTAAAGTCATCGATGGTGATGTTCTGACCGATTCTGTCTCTGCTTTGGTTATTGCGGCTCATATACATATATTTCGTCTTGTTTTGGTTGATTTGGAGCCCCATCTTTTCTGCTTCCTTCTCGAACGTTACGAAAGTCTCCTTCATACTTAATCGTGTGTTTTCTATTAGATCGATATCGTCTGCAAATGCCAGTAGTAAGTTTGGTCCTTCTCGATGAAATACTGTATTCGGTTTTTCGATTCATGCACTTCTGATTAGGTGTAAAATATCCCTTCCAAAAAAAAACTAATTTTATGTCTGAACACGAATAAAGATGAACACAATTCTCACTTTGAGTAAGTAGACAAATTAACATATTTAGTAAATATAATAAATGAATGAGATCTCTCACGTGATCAATGAGAATCAATCACTACTGTGTAGCGAAAAATAATTAAAAAACAAAAAATTGCATCGCCCGCGAATATGCACGTCTCTGAAAATATCTAAATAGGTAAAATCTGACACTAAACCTAATAAATCTATCAGTATTCATCGAAGAGTTGTTCAAAAGGTGCCGGCACTGTCGCCGGAACAACACTCCGCGTATACGTCCATTCTGGGAGCGAAACTCAAATCAAAACATTGTCTTCTAAAGCTTTTTCCCATGTTAATAAATTTTAAAGTTTTATTTGACTTTGCCGCTATCTATCTCTTATCGAATTCTTCTGGTATTGATAAATGTTAATAGCTTCTATGTGAAAAGTATTAGAAAATGGTTATTGGAGACATAAATTTCCTACTGACGGATTGAAATATAAGAGATCTAGTCTCTTTAGAATGGTGGTATATTGTAATGGTTAATTTCCTTTTGTAGTTACTGTGATAATTGTTTTATTATGTTTTATATATGTGGTATAAGAGATATTGAAATAAATCAGCCAAAGATGGGACATAACAAACTACCCAGGGCAGTACAAAGATAGAAAATTAATATAAAATATAAAAGGCGTCAAAGAAACATACATTAAGGAACATAAAGTATATAAAATAGATAAAGAAGTAGAATAAGTAGAAAAGTAAGAATAACCACATTGAAAGACTTTCATACATATTTAAAAACGACAAAAAATTTCAAATTCACTGCACTGTTGTATTTATTTTGAAATAAGAAATACATACATAAAAATGACTGTATCATAAATTCATAAATAAATTAGATAGAAGAAATATACGTATATATATATATATATATATATATATATATATATATATATATATATATATATATATATATATATGTATATATATATTTATATATATATATATACATATAAATATGTATATGTATATATATATATATATATATATTTATATATATATATACATATAAATATATATATATATATATATAAATATATATATATATATATAAATATATATATATATATACATATATATATATATATATATATATATATATATATATATATATAAATATATATGTATATAATGTTGTTATGCTATGTAAAATTGAAAATAATATTGGTTTGCTCTTAATATATTTCAAGTACAAAATATAATAATTCAACTAATAAACTATAAAAGATATTTCGAAGAAATATATGTCCATTATCCTGGATTACCTGTATTAAACAAAATTTAAAGATATGCATAAATTATTTTCTTTGCAAAATATGCGAGCGGGTTTTCCAAATAGACTTGTACGTCGATATACAGTGAATAAGACAATAGAATAGAAATATTTAGAAAATATAATTCTCCGTTAGTTCTTAAGAATTTGTAGAAACCGATTAGCACGTTAATAGTTTTTAGGAAATTTATAATTGTAGGTATAATTGTTGTCTGTTATCTAAATGGTAGATGGGGATAAGTGTGACGAACTTTGGAGGAGATTGAAAGAAGTGGGATAGGTATGTAGGAAGGAGAGTTTAGCTAGATTTTTGAGGGAGAAAAGGTAATGAGTTGTTTTTCCCAGAGTGCAAGGCGAACAGCCGTTTTTCTCTGGTGGTTCCCCAGAGGTACTAAGCAGTAGAAGTGAATGTTTGTAAATTTTCGTGGAGTAAGTGTATCTGACAGAAGCTGATCCAGTAAAATATTGTAAGTTTAGTAAGTGTAATAGTGTAAGTGTATATTGTAAGTCACTGTTCAGGCCAGAACGAGAGATTCAGTTTATCGAGAGGAGAAGATCATTTGGAGAAGGAGAAGGCTAGCCTCATTTGAACGATACATGCATTTGAAGGACATCATTAAAGACGATCGGCTCGCAATAATTTATTGTAAGATTGCTGATTAGCTAGGGGACTGCTAAGAATAGATAGTGTAGGCTACAAAGAACAAGGATTTGGACAACTCATCTTCAGAGACATAGTTTTACCCTTTGTCAGTTTTTCTTTATTAATAACACATTTTTTTAACAATTGCTTTAGAAAAGATAGGAATATTTTGATCAGGAGATTTAGAACAACAATTTTGATTTGAAATTTTAATTTATATTGTATATACTATTAATTTTTAAAGGTTCACGTACGTAGAACAAAATTTTGATTATCATTATATGAGATATTTTTTATTGAAGATATTTGAGTGTGAATTTTATTTCAATATATAATGTTGTATCATATATGTTTTTATTATTCCGGTATTCTTTGGACCTTACCTATCGTATGTAAAGCATAGGTATCAAAACACGAGTATAACCCTGAGATAAGAAAAATTAAATAGTGTGATAGAATCATAATTGCATCATTATATATATATATATATATATATAATATATATATATATATATATATATATTTCTGTATATAAAAATTCGCATAACATGCACCGAATTTCCAAAATTCCTAAAATACTGTCCTGTTATATTTAAAGTTTTGGCGAATACTCTAAACATTTAAAACTAATTATAAGAAATAAACCGCATATCGTCCCAAGTAATTATCTAAATATAAAGTGGTATTTACGTAGGTACATAGCTACTTAGTTTGTTGCTGTACTCTTTTCAAAGATAACAATAGACTGTTTTCCTTGTAACAAAAATACAGGTAGCTTCGTTAATATTCAAATATTTTCGGACTTAATATTCGGTACATTCATTGAGATTTTTAGAGGTGTGTTATTGATTAAGTCAGTTAATGATATACGAGGTAAAGGCGGAAATTTAAATGGATTAGAGTAACAGAGAGAAAAAATTTAAAGACTTTACTAAGCATACGTCAAGAGGAAGAACATAGAATAGATGAAACATTGCAAACAATTAACAATTTGAAGAACGGAAAAGCTCCAGGCTCTGACAATATACTGGTTGAATTCCTTAAGTACGGAGGAGAAACTGTACATAGACCAATACACAAACTAATAACACTTATGGAACGAAGAGAAAATACCATCAAAATGGCACGAAAGTGTAATAATCCCGATCCATAAAAAGGGAGACAAAACCAATTGCTCTAATTATAGAGACATCTCCATAGTTAATACGGCATATAAAATATTATCGAACATCCTATTAAGTAGGCTGACACCGTTTGTAGAAAATTTTATGGAGGAATATCAAGCCTGCTTCAGACAGCATAGATCGACCATAGATCAGATCTTTACTCTAAGACAGCTTGATAAAGAATGGGAATTCAATAGAACTATCCATAATCTCTTTATAGATTTTCGGCAAGCGTACGACAGCATTAAAAGGGATCAGATGTAAAATGCAAGAACTTTCAGTTACAAAAAAACTTATCCAACTTGTTAAGTTATGTGTGACTAGCTGTAGATCCAGAGTACGGATAGGTAACAAACTCAGAATCTTTCGAAATAAGCAGTGGTCTGAAACAAGGAGATGCGCTGCCACCTTTCCTTTTTAATATCATCCTTGAGAAAGTAGTAAGAGTACTTAAAACAGAATTACTGACAGTAAATGAGCCAAAATTACTACTGCATACGCAGATGACATTGACATTGTGGGTAACACAGTCACCAATGTGAAGGAGACTTCTAATAAATTGAAGGTAGAGGCAAAGAAAACTGGTTTAAGGGTAAACAGTAAACAGACAAAAGGGACGAGATAGAATAGGGCAAAATGTTACAATAGACGCATATAACTTTGAAAGAGTGGAGAGTTTTAAATCTCTCGGAGTAACAATCACTGCAGATAACGAATGGTAACTGCAGATAACGGTATCGCGAAAGAGATTAAAGGAAGAATTAAGTCAGCAAACAGATGTATCTACAGCCTTCACAATACTATTAAATCTAAAAGCCTAACACAAACATCAAAGATTAGAATATATAAATGGGTTATTAGACCGGTGCTCATGTATGGGTATAAGACGTTTACCCTGACCAAAGAAACTGAAAGAAAACTTAGATGTTTTGAGAAGAAAATCTCCAGAAGAATCTTTTTGTCTTATCAGGACATTAATAGGAACCAATACCGAATGAGAAAAAATACTGAGGTCAAGCAGATGTATAAAGCGAGCGACATAGTCCAAGAGATTAAATCCCAACGTCTAAGATGGGCTGGTCATGTTCATAGACTTCCTAATAACGGCCTTGCCAAGTTAATATGGAAGGATGCCCCCATAGAAAGAAGGAATGACGTCCACAACTGCGATGGAGAGAGAATATATGGTCAGATCTAAGAACAATTGGTCTACTTACTGACCCAAATATTATGGACGACCGTTCAAGTTAGAAGCAAGTTGTGCAGTCAGCCCAGATCCACCCAGAGTAGTAGTGCTACGAGAAAAAAAAAGAAAAAATACAAGAACAAGTGTAATAATAAAATGAGAGTGACAAACTAGCATTATTATTCAAAAAAGGAGCAATTTCAATTTCCATAAAACAGCCAAAGAACTAGCTGGAATAAGACAAAGAAATATACTAAACATACTGCTAGACAGAGAGAAAAACATTATTGTCGATACAGAAAAAAGTCTTGTTAAGTATCCAAACCTCATACGAAGCGAGATCTTTTAACCTACTTTCTAACTACTTACAAAAAATTTGATATTTTGGTATTTATTCAATAAAATCTACACAATAGAAATCATCTACCAAAAAATGTTAAACTCGACATTTGTATGCCTAGGAAATAATGTTAATTAAAAATAATGCAAAGACTCCTGAGTGATTTACGGTGCAAACTTTGCAATCTGAAGAAGAACGATATAAAAAAAAACAGAAGTTACAAGCACAATGGAGAAAATGTGGAGAAAAATATGGCATCTTGCAGCTATCAATCCAAAGCAAAATAGAGAATAGAAGGACTGTGGGATAAGTAAAATAAAGATAAAGTAAAATAACATATTACAACTGATCCTTAAAGGCAAAATAGAGAGCCGTAGATGTGTAGCAAGAAAACAAGTTTCTTCTTCTTCTTCTTCTTCTTCTGGTAGCACTACAACCCGGGGTGGGTCTTGGCTGACTGCACAAACTGCTTCCATCTCGAACGGTCGTCCATGATGTTTAAGTCAGTGGGTAGCCCCATTGTTCTAAAATCTGACCATATATTATCTCTCCATCGCATTCGTGGACGTCCTAAGGGCCTTCTCCCTGTCGGGACTTCTTCTCAGATTAACTTGGTAAGGCGGTTATTAGGGAGCCTATGAACATGGCCAGCCCATCTTAGACGTTGGGATTTAATCTCTTGGACTACGTCACTAGCACTATACATTTGTTTAACCTCGGCATTTGTTCTCATTCGGTATTGGTTAGTATTCGGATCGTGATAGAGACCGAAGATCTTTCTGAGGATTTTTCTCTCAAAGCATCTGAGTTTACTTTCCATTGTTTTTGTCAGCGTCCACGTCTCACACCCATACATGAGCACCGGTCTAATTACTGTTTTATATATCCTGATTTTTGATGTTCGTGTTAGGCTCTTGGATTTAATAGTGTTGTGGAGGCTATACATACATCTGTTTGCTGTCTGAATTCTCCCTTTTATCTCTTCCATGATATCGTTATCTGTGGTGATAGTCGCTCCGAGATATTTAAAACTCTCCACTCTTTCAAAGTTATAGGGGTCTATTGTTACATTTTGTCCTATTCTATCTCGTCTCTTTTGTCTGTTAATGCACATATATTTGGTTTTCTCTTCATTTACCCTTATACCGGTATTTTTTGCCTCTCTCTCTCTAAATTATTGAAGGTTTTTTTTACATTGGTGACGGTATTTCCTACAATGTCAATGTCATCCGCGTATGCTAGTAGTAATTTTGGTCCATTTACTGTCAGTAGTTCTGTTCTAATTTGTGCGGTTCTTACTACTTTTTCCAGGATTATATTAAAAAGAAGAGGTAACAGCGCGTCTCCTTGTTTCAGTCTACTGTTTATTTCAAACGACTCTGAGAGCTTGTTACCTATCCGCACTCTAGATCTACAGCCATTTACACAAACTTTAACGAGCTGGATAAGTTTTTTTAGAACTGAAAGTTCTGCCATTGCATTCCACATCTGATCCCTTTTAATGCTGCTGTATGCTTGTCGGAAATCTATGAAGAGATTATGAATGGTTCTATTGAATTCCCATCCTTTTTCAAGCAGCAGCCTGAGAGTAAAAATCTGATCTATGGTCGATCTATTTTTTCTGAATCCGGCTTGGTATTCCCCTATGAAATTTTCTACAAAAGGTGTTAGTCTACTTAATAGGATGTTCGATAAGATTTTGTACGCCGTATTAAGTAGGGAGATGACTCTATAGTTTCTTAGTTAAAAAATATTCGTGAATGGACTCAGATACCAAATGCAGGACAATTATTCCATATTGCAGAAGATCGAGAAGACTTCGCAACGTCGGATACGTCAGATATGGCACGTGGAAAAAAGTTGGATACGTATAAGCAACGTTGCTAAAGAAACCCAAGAGAATTGTATCGTTTCAGCTCAAAAAACTCTTTATAATAGATGATTAGGAAGAAAAATATGTAAAATCAAGTTTTTAGTACAAAATTCTTTTCTAAAAGTGATGTGGACCAGGGGACAATGAAGTAGTTGTAAAGTTATCGATCAAAACGGAGGAAAAGCTAGTTTGAATTTACGTGAAACAAAAGATTTACAAAGCCCTAAATGTACAAGACACACTTTCCTATTACTCTTATAGTCGTCTGGGAAATTTAGGGTGTAGAATGATTATTAATAACGAGAATTTTTAGGCGAGAAAGACAAAAGTGTTTACAACAACTTTGGGATGAAAAAGAAGAAAGGAATTTAGTTTGAATTATTTTTGTGAATAAGTCATTAACATAACAACACAATAATTACACGTCTACTAGTATCCTGTAGGTTATTTATATAATTTTTTATCTAACCCTTGTACAGTATATTATTTATCTTATGCACCTACCTACCACGCCTCTTCAGACAACTAAGTCATACCTGCAACCCATTTTTTATGTTTATGAGTTCTCGCCTACAATTTGGTGCATTTATTGTTTTCAATATATACCATGTGAACTTTGGAGTGAAAGAGACGGTAATCGCAACAACTGACAGGGTGTTGAGACCTTGACATTTTACTGTACATTTTATAAATATAATAATTGTTTCTTGTTTTAAATATATATTAAATAAAAAGGTATAACTATATATATATATATATATATATATATATATATATATATATATATATATATATATACATATATATATATATATATATATATACATATATATATATATATATATATATATATATATATATATATATATATATATATACAAACAACACAGTTTATTAGGGCTGCAGTCAGAATATTGGCCGGGATGTTAAAAAAACACTCTTTTAACTTTTTGTCGAGCTTTCGGAATGGTTTTATTCCTTTTTCAAGACATTGTAAAAGACAATTATGTAAATATTTAAAAAATATCACAATTCTTCAGTGTAACTTACTAGTCGTTCAGATTATTTTTGTAAGCATTGACACTCAACACTTATACCACACATTAAAATATACAATTATGGACATACCTAATACATCATAAAATTTTTAAAATTTATTGTAAAAATAGTAAAACTTGGTTGATGGCATGTTTTACTGATGTATCATACAGAGAGTGAAAAGTAAAAACACTGTAATTAATATGTAATTAGGTGTAATTGATGTTATCATTCTTTACAAGAAATACTAGAGGCCCTTCTTAGGTGACTATACTTTTTAAACCTGTCTTAATGGTATGCAACATATTATACATAGATATTGTACAGGTAAATATTTATTTTATTTTTGGTGTTTTTCTAGTAAATAACAATATTCTGACTGCAACCCTAATAAACTGTGTTGTTTGTTTATATCGACAGTCACTAATATCCAGTATTTCATATATATATATATATATATATATATATATATATATATATATATATGTGTATATATAAATATATATATATATATATATATATATATATATATATATATATATATGTGTATATATATATATATATGTGTATATATAAATATATATATATATATATATATATATATATATATATATATATATATATATATATTGCTTGCTTAAAATCTTCTATCATAAAACTAAAAGAAATATATACTAAGAAAAAAAATTAAGTAAATTTTAAGGCAAAAACAACAGAACTCATCGAAATAAAAAAAATTTTATCAACTGCACTTTGATTACAATCTACTTAAGCTATGTCCCTGGATTCTCCAATGTGTGATGACATATTATAATTTAGAGACAGGTTTAATTATTTTCACAGCTTTTTGTTTTCGTAGTTGTTACGATACTTAGAAATTGTAGGTTCTTAATAAATATATTTTGTTACGGAATTCAATTTAAAAAATCTGTTTTTGGCTTTGATTTCGTAACTGGCGCAGTCATTCGGATTTTTTGAAATTGTACAGTGTTCGTGTTAACCTTGCGGAATTTCGTATTCTTTTTAAAGATTAACAAAAAATCCACATTTCGACTACGTATTAGCCCAACGTCCAGGGCTAGGAACAAACATTGTCCACAAACTATTGAAGAAGCAAAGACTAGTGAAAAGGAACCAGCATCGTCAGGAATTATATTGGGGCAGACGGAAGAACAAAAATAGCCTGAAGTCTATATAGAATGAAAATATTAAGTGATATATGGTTGAATACTCGAATAAATAAATTTTAATCAAATAAAAGGCAGATATCGAGCACAATTTTTTAAATTTAATTGTTGCTCAACTACTTTCGCTCTAAGAGCATCTTCAGGGGCATCTGAAATAAGCCAAGAAGCGTTTTTTCAAGTGAAGGAAGATTAATTAAACTCCAAGTTGATGGTTGATAAAAAAATTATTATATAACGTTTTAGACTTACTTCGTCAAACTTTTAGGCTATCCAGCACTTCTATGAATGTTATAAATATTGCATAATACATTTACACGACACTAAACAAAGAACCCAGAGTTTAAACAATTTTCAAAATTTAAGAAGCTACATTGTGGGTGACAGCAGGAGAGAGAATAGCTCCTAGTCTTAATGGAAATTTTAAAGTGACATCTGACATATGACAACTTGGATGAGCAGTCACAATCATGGTGATATGATCTGCACATTTCAAAATTCTGTGGTAAACTGAGCATTGACCAAAAGTCCAACTGACTACTAGTATAGGAAGTGAACTGATGAA